TCACCTGCCCGCGCGGCAAGGCCTTGCGACTTTGGTCTCGTCTGTCTTTAGAGCATGGTTGACAGAGCCACTGGCCGAGGGCCTTATTGAAGCATTTGCCCATCTGCCCAGAAGGCACGTCCGCAATTTTCGAGGGCGGGAGTTTCCGCAACAAGACTAGACTGCTTACAAGGTAAGCCTGGTAACTAGTTTATATACGTCTTGGGGCCGAACGTTGCTGGAGACCACGAGCTCCCTTGACTCGGATGCGAGAAACTCAATTCGAGTCAAAAGGCGGGGTATATATTGGGGTTATAATGGAGAATCATGTGGAAAAAACATGGAACATGAAATAGAAACTGGGATTATATAATCATCGCTCTAAGTTTTAAACCCTAGACTCTATGCAGGCCAAACTGTCAGACATCATGGCATCGGAGGTGCTTTAAAGACAAGTCCGAACACCTGTCGGCATTCCGTGTTTGCAAGGGAAAGGCGCGGGAAGTTCTACAGGTATGCAGCTTATTGTGGCATTGGTATATGGTATCCTCCATACATCTGAGGATCCGCAATATAGACCTCCAAATGCTAGAATCCTCATTATGGGGACCCCCAAAAAAGGACCCTGAATGTTGGGAAACCCGAAACCCAATATATCCACATATATCACTATGAACCCCAACAAAGGGACCCCTGTTTTCTTTTGGAAGCCTTCAACCCCAAACCTTATTTTTTTGGAAACCCGTTTTAGGGGTTCTAAAGCCAAAGCCCTAAACCCAAAACCTTCAACCGTAAACCCTACATATGGTTTAGGTTTCACGGTTTTGGGGTCCATGAGCTTGCTGCAAGACAAGCTTCGCCTAGTCGTCCCACTTCCTCATCTGGACCAAAGTCTGAGTTGCTGTTAAGGAACTTCGTTTAAATTACTCCTATATTGGGGAAATCATAGCAAAAAACATAGTAATTCCTATGTATACCCATTATGGTAATTTATTCAGTTCCTTAACAACAGCCCTTTTTGAACAGATTGTGAGGATGTCTCAAAGTTGGGGTACCTCTAAATTTTCCTGAAACATTAGAGCCTTCTTCTAGGCAGTCCGCAAGGAGGACCCACAAGGTTTATGAACCTACAAGCTGCATGTTTTGAGGATCATGAACGACAAGCTTTAGGAAGTCTTCCCTTCTCCAGCTTCTTTGATGTATGATAATTAGACTTTGCACCTACTCAGCTTCAATTATGGCGTCCCGGGTCTCGCTCACTTGAAGGGTTGGAAGCTGGGGCATGGTGACTTGGCATTGGGGCTACAGATTCAGCATAGCGCGAAAGCTCTCAACCATGTAAGCCCTGCTCCCCTTGACCCCATAAGCCTTGAACCCTATAACTATCCATACGCCCTAAACCCTCTGAAAATCTTAAAGCCAGTCCCTAAGCCACTAAGCCCTAAAGCCCTAAACCCTGAACCCTGAACCCTAAAACCTGTAGGCCCCAAATTCCCAGCCCTTGTCTCCCACCCAAAGCGCAGAGCAATGTGACAGGTCACGAACCAGGTGGTATCTGAGCGGCCAACGGCCTGCAACGGCTTCAAGGCGAGTAGTATAATACAGACACTCTATTAACAAACCCCCCTTCCTTAATAGGGGTTATAATACGGATCCTGATATTAAGGCCCTTAAAAGGAGGGGGTTTATTCATCAAGGGTCTACATTAATTTTGTTTATTCCGTTTTGTTATTGTCATGAATACCAATGGTAAGGACATTGTTACGAATACGGCTATTATAAAGTCAGCTTCACACTTTCATCAGTTTTCTTGTCATTTGAGGTGTCAAGGCCATTTAGGGCGAGTGTGGGTGATTTCGGTGTTCGGTTTAGAGCTTTGGGGCTTAGCCCTCGAAATTGAGTGTTTTCTATTACCCTAAACCCTACAAACCCTAAACCCTTACTGTATAAGATTTACCGATACAGTGGTGCATGATGTGTTTTTTCCCGGATCGCAGCACATTCTCCTTTCTGCGGCCCCAACCCTTAAACCCTGTAGGGTTTAGTGTTTAGGGTTGAGTACATATAATATGCCGAATTTCAACTGTTGACTTGCCTGTCCCTCCAAGTTTGTTGCAGGTCCAAGCCCAAGCCTCTTGCTCATAATATGCTTTGTAGGTTAGAAATTCGTAACGGTACCACTGTGAATGGGTTAGCGCTTGATTTGTGCAGCTGCCTCTGAATTAAGTAGGAGCAGGACAACGACCCTGAAACCCTTACCTTACTGATACCTTTTTGATGAGATGCAGGTGACATGCCCAGAATGGCCCAAGATTTCTTCTGAGCTTGGAGGACCCTATAAGAGCCATATGTACTATAGTCTAAACTCCTTACAGGGGCTTATATAGGGGATTATATAGGGGACAAGTATAGGGGTTATTAAGGGGGATACTAGGAGTTTAGACTATAGCTCACGTGATAGCCTTAGGGTCACCCAAAAGTCTTATTGAGGAAGTCAGGTGTCCTTGACCACACTAACGCCCATACCAGTAAATCGGAATGCTAGGAACCCTAAACTCCTTAAACCCCAAACCGCGTGAGTAGTACTAGAAAAACAGGACGAATACACGAAGCATGCGGGCAAGACTGTGGTCCAGACCTCAACCTCGGCCTTTATGGTTCAATGCTGGGCTTTAGACAGGTCTAGGGCTTAGGGTTTAGGGGCTTAAGAGAGGTTAGGGAATACGGTGTGGCTAGTCATCGCTAGGGTGGGTTTGCCTTTGGACATAATATTGGGGAATGGGTTGGAGTCACATTGAAATGCTTGTTCTAAGAAGGGGGTGCCCTCTGTTATGGTATGACTGCGAATCCATGACATAGTGACCTGTAAGGGATAATTAGGATCATATCCCTATTATACTACTACTGCAGGGTGGGCGGTCCACCTGAAACATATGAGCTGTAGTTTAAGTTCCTCAAAGGGGGTTAAGACAATGGCTCAGATCCCAAGAGATCCTTGTTCGTATGGGATATTGCTGTCATCATTTAGGGTAGTTCAAGAGTTGAGTTACTGGACCAAGCCCTAGCCCATCCTTAGGGTTTAGGTTCTGAGCTGTAGAGTTTAGGGTTTAGGGTTTAGGGTTCAAGGTTTAGGGTTTAAGGTTGAGGGTTTAGGGTTCAAGCTTTAGGCTTTAGGGGTTTAAGGTTTAGGGTTTAAGGTTATAAGTTTTGGGTTTTGTTGAGTGTTCAGGGGACGGAGGAGAGGGAGGAGAGTTATCCATTGCAATTTCTGGCGCCAACTCGACAGGTCTACACGGTGTTTGTCAAACCTACCCGTGTAGAATCTTGAGTCCCATTTCCTAAACTCGAAGCCCTAAATCTAGCAGGAGCTACCATGACCCCTTTCGTGATGAACTGGGCTCCTGTTGAGGAACAGCATATCAGGTTTAGGGTAATGGGTAATGGGTTAGAAAGACTAGAATCCCTGCCCTTCTATGTCGGGTAGTTCTTCAAGACGTAGGCTTGTGTACGTAACCCTACATGGGGCACTGTTTTACTACTGTTTGGTGTTGGTGAATGTTTGTAGTTTTTTGTTGCTGATTACTGGTTGGTGTAGCTGCGGGGCGCCATCTGGGTAGACCATATGTGAAATCTTCAGCTTGCATATCTAAGGCAGTAAACATGCAGCACTAGTGGGGAAGGCAGAGACATTAAATATCTAACAATGAATGCGGAAGACACATTTTGCAGGCTATCATGTAGAAGGCGGAAGAATTGCCTTATCATCGACCTACAATTACAACACAGATCTCCCAACAGCCTGTTCTACGCTTTTTTGTCTAGGCCCTACATTTCCCCTTTGGCTAACCCAGACCCACAACCCCCTCCCCTAAATAGGGATTATATAGGGATCCAAATATTTAGGCCCTTAAAAGGAGGGGGTTTACTAATCATGGGTCTACATTAATTAAACCCTAAACCCTAAATAGGAGTTTCCATTTTCTTTTCCATTATCCTTATATAACCCCAATATTCCCCCTGTATTAATCATGGGCCTACATTAGCAGGCAATCAAAGTTCAGTTTGTGGCTTCCACTCGCTAAGATGTTTCACGCAAAGACCCCAAATCCAGAATCCTAAGCCCCAAACTAAAATGGAAACTACTGTAATGGGTTATACAGGGTATAAATTGGGGCTATATTGGGATAGTGGAAAATATAATGGAATGGCAATCTATACTAATGATAAGTTGATTCTCAGTACATCGTTAGTAACATCCGTCAATTTTCCAGAATTAGAAACTCGAGTGGCTCCTTCCAACAATGGAAACATTCAAGGTTCACTATCATAGTCATGAAGATGCCGTGTTTTTGTGTAATGCATATTTGTCAACATTGCGCCCCTGTACTCCGTACAAAACTCTAGAATAGCATACTACCCACCCACCCACCCACCCACCCACCCACCCACCCACCCACCCACCCACCCACCCAACCCACCCACCCACCCACCC